GCGTGTGTGTGTTTGTGTGTGTGTGCATGTGCGTGTGTGCTAGAGAGACACAGCCAGAAAGAACCCCTCAGTCTGAATTAAGGTTCTTTGAATGGAACAACACATACACACTCAGTGAGTCTTATTCATTGTTCCCTCACATGACACTAACTAGAAACACACACACATGCGTGCACACACGCTGACGGCTAGCATCATGGTGCCAGTGCCACTGGCATAAACACAACCTTTAACACTCTTATGCTGTTATCTACCCTCTCTCTGCCTCTCTCTCTCTCTCTATTTCTCTCTCTCTCTGTCGCTCTCTCACTGCCTCTGTTTGAATGATATGACTGCATTATTTAACCTGCCATGATACTGTAGTGGCCCCTGCAAGAAAACTGTGTTTTTCCTTGCAGCCTTGCCACAGGGAGGTCTTCAGGTCAGATACAAGGTGCAGCTCTGGAATTGGCAGGGTTTAGTGTCTCTGTCAAGGACTAGTCTGAAGGTTTGGTGCTTGCTATTTTGGGAGATTGAGCCAGAGTCACTTCCCAGGGGGCCCCTCCAAATCTAATGTAACATTTATAATGTGTGAAAACCGCCCAGCACAACAAGTGTTTGGCAACAAATGTTCATTGAAATGAAAGTTTTTTGCATCATATCATATACTGCAACAGAATCTTTTGTGCATGCTTTTTGTGCATCTTTGTTGAAATATGTAAAAGATGCTACATAAACAAGGACCAGAAACTACATTCAGTTTCAGTGATAAGAAACTTGATTGTGATCTTGGTCCATATCACATTCTTTTGCCTAACATCAAAGCAGTTTTACCAAACCTAACCCTTCCTTTAGGGTCACAGATTATAAAAATCATGTTGAGGAAAAAAATTGAAGAAAATAGAGTATAGGAAACATGTAGACCATTAACATTGACAGCAATGGATGTCTGTGTGCATATAAATGAGTTTGTCTTTTTGCCAATGTGCAACTCCTAGAATGCATGTGTGTGTGTGGGTGTGTGTGTGTGTGTGTGTTTAAATGAGAAGTGACAGAGTTCACTCCCTGAGGAATGTTCACCATATGGGTGAAAGAGCTTGTACCTGGTGCTGAGCAACCTGGGAGGCACAGACACACATGCACACGACTCACACATGTGGTGTGTGTGTGTTTGTGTATGTGTACAATATGAATTGGTACTATTACAGACTCTCTTTTGTTTCTTCTCCCACAAAGATCTCTTCCTTTATCTCTCTGTCCTAAGTGTCTATGGTGAAATTAAATTTAACATCGTCTCAAGAAGAAGGTTAAGAGCATGACGGCTTCAGGCTAACAATTTGCACGCAAAATATCGCAAATGAGCTTTGAAACTTTTTGGTCAATAATTGATTTATTAATTACCAATGGTTATATAAAGTAATTTGACAAGCAAAATTGTTTTTTTTCCTATCCCAGCCTCAACAACAGACAATGTGTGTGTTTTATATTATTATAGATTCAGCATCTTTGAGCAAAAAAATAACTTACTCAAAACACTACTGCCTACTATGAAAACAAGCCTCTGTTATCTTTATGAATGTACACAGTTGGAACTATCTTTAGCTGAGGATGTATACAAGTAATCATGTGGTGCTGTAATTATCATTTCACACCACAGCAAAACATGCCGGACGAAATGCTGCTGGTGGAAATCTATGAATCCTCGACTTGGATTTTCATGCTCTGTTTCAAAGCTGTGCTTCACACTGGAAGAGAGGGAGAGAATAAAATTGAGAGGGAGGTAGTGCGAAATAGAGAGGGAGTGAGAGAGGGCGATATGTTTTGAGAGGTTTTTTCAAGTGGCCATTTCATCTGTGCTAATTGATAATTCTCCATGACTAACGCGCCGCTGACTGGCCTTTGAGCCGCACTAGCTGGAAAATGGTATTGTAGGGTGATTTCTAAGGGATCTCAGAGAGACAGAGAGAGGAGGAGGAGAGAGATAAGCTCAACTGGACATACACAAATTCACACTTGTGAGCCTCTCACAGATGTCTGTAAATAATTTCATAGGGGGATAATGGCTAACACAACCCTGCAGCATAAAAACATGTTGAGCCCTTTTTATTGAAGGCTATGTTATTTTATAATTGTATTTACATGTACTGTACAACTACAATATACTGTATCACACTTCCAAAGCATTAGTGAGATCAGGCTCTGATTAATCACTTTCTCTTGTTGTATGGAAGAGCCTACTAACTAATTATTTTTTCCAAACTTGCTCGATGTATACAAATGTTTTTTTATAGATCTTGTAGATTTATAAGTTTACTATTGAAAAAGAAATGTAAAATAAAGCCATAATGTCATCACCTACAGATATTCATTACTCTGTGTTGTATCACTTCAAGCATGTAGATCTTTTATTGTTTTCCTGTCTATCAGATAATCTCTAGTTTGTGGAAATTGGATGCTAAAGTGATATTGGTGGTTAATGAAATCTTTACTTTCTTCTTGCAGATTATTCAGCGCAATCTTGGAGCAGGCCACCAAGGGAGACGGGGCCACTCCCATTGGAGGGAAAGCAGCGGGCTTCGATGTCAAGGCTCTGAGGGCATTTAGAGTACTCAGACCCCTCAGACTGGTGTCTGGAGTACCAAGTGAGTACAGAGCTGTGAAAGAAAGAAAGACAGAAATACAGAGACAATGAAGGACAGACAGAAATGATGCTCTGGGGATCAGGTGTGAGTGGGGTTATGGTGAGGTAGTGGAGAAATGAACCACAGATTGGAGCTGATATTGATGCTTCGTGACACACACACACACTTGTCCTGTTGTCAGATACTCTGACTATATGAGTAGTAGATGAGTTGTCTGTCAACCTGTCTGTGTTAGTGACTACACAAATCAATAAACCAACAGACTAGAAGACAGGAAAGGATCAGATATTGAGGATGAAGGCTAAGTGAGAGTGCCTGTGTGTGTAGGGCTAGTACAACACCAGACAAATGTAAAGGGTGCTAGAGCACATCCCATTCTGCACAGTGTTAAGACTGAACCCTGTCCAACATCATCGGACTGGGTATTGAATTTGTGTCATGGCCGCTGATCAGTAGCATATTTGCTAACTGATTAGCACAGACTAATAGATTTGTCTTTTCAAAGGCCTCCAATGCCAGTGAACTGTAAATGAATTTTGTAATCCTGTTACAATCCTGTTATTCAAATGTTTTAGATGTCAACTGAATCAACAGAAAGTTATTGATTCCACCTCCTGTGGTTTTGCAGTTGCATTTACTTAAGCAATTCAGATGAATAAAACTAAGATTGCGATATCAACTAGAGTGTATACATAGCTTTTCTTCATTTACACAGAGGAATTTAGCAAATATACTCTTATTGCAGTTACCTTGAGCTTGTTATGCTCTTCTCTGAACCAATTTAACAAAATAAGTAAAGAATTGCATTGCCTATGAATAACTTCTGTTTTGTTTTGTAATATGATTTATGTTTTTCATGACAGTCATTGAAGGTGCTTTCTTCCACATGCAAAATATTAAAAAGATTTGATTAGTTAATCCAAGTGTTTATATGGTGATTGACCCCACCTGTTCTATGCTGTATATTATCTATTATCTGTCCACAGTCATATGTCTGCATTCTCAGCAGTGGATCTTTGTGTGTTCTCCAGGTTTACAGGTAGTGTTGAACTCCATAATCAAAGCCATGGTTCCTCTGCTCCATATCGCCCTGCTGGTCCTCTTTGTCATCATCATCTATGCCATCATCGGCCTGGAGCTCTTCATGAGCAAGATGCACAAGACCTGCTTTCATGAGCATATAGGTACACACACAATCACACACACTCACAAAAGCACATGCAGAGAGAGAGAGTGAGAAAGAGACAGGGTATTTAGACCGTTGTGCACTGATGCACAGACACAGACAGAAATATGCATAGTACACTCGCATGTTGCACTTCAGTGATCAGATTGATTGTGAATTGTATTCAACTGTGTGTGAAATCATGCTTCAGTAAACATACAGTTTATTCACACAGACGCTCACTCGCTTCCACTCCAGTGATAGAAAGAGAAGTGAATACTATACCACTCAAACCTTTTCAACTGTATTATCAAAGTGAGCCATAGCTGTACCCTCACTCACCTCATGACTGTAAAGATAATAAGTGCGTTTTATTAGGAGGACATCAATCGAAAAGAGTGTATACCTCAAACTATTTAAATGATCGCCCCTATTTATTATTTAAACCATCATTTATGTTGCTGAGTATGAACGATTTGAGCCATCATTGAAACAGCAGCCGCCATAAATGATTGAAACTATTTTCATTAGAGGCCCCCAGGTATAAATGGACTCAAGTGTTGTTATGGTGATGTTATAGGTCCCATGAGAGGCATTAGCTTAGCGCTGGGTAAGTGCTGGTGGAACGCTCTCAGTTATCCTATACGTCACCCTGGAGAGCTTGTTTTGTATAATTGGTATGACACTTTTTTACAATGATATTTTTTATATTGCGTTCTCCAGTTCAGTTCAACATGTCGCTTTTAACCTCCTCAGAGATTAAGCAATTTTCTCTTTTAGATAAATTCTTTGTAAATGTAGTAAAAAATCAAGAAGGGTTATTTTGTAATTCATTCTGAAATTAAAGACTTGTGCTTTTTTCTACACAATCAGTTTGAGCACTTACAAAGCTTGGATGAACATAAATCTCCCCTGATATTTTCTTTCCACTGCAAAAGTAGTTTGTTAGTTAATTGGAAAATATCCTTGATAGAGAGCACCATGCACAGGCCTGTTCCCATGCAATCAAGGAGTGAAGTCATGTATAATGAAAGGTCCATTCCCCAATTTTTGAATTCTGCTGCTGTGTGCCTGCTGACAACAGGTGACAGCAAAGGAATGTGCTTTGATTAGATTCAGGGTCAGTGTATTCAGCAGCCATTGCTGTACCTTTTGTACCTTATTGTATTGATAAAACTATCTAAATTGTCCACAGGTCTGATTAACACCTCTGTCTGGCTTTTTCCCAACAGCAACTGGCTCTGGCTCATTGCTATTATAATACTTGGCGGAATTCAACACAGCAAACTGATGGAGAATACATCAATTCTCATAAATAATGCTGAATTAAGAAAAAAAAAAGTGATGGCGATAACATAGACATACTCTGCGTTAATCTTCACATAATTATCCTTAAAAATATGTGTTGAAGAACCGTCAGCAGATCCTCTTGCTCTGCAGATCTGTAAAATGAAGTTTGAAGAGTAACACTCTTTCCTCTCACTCTCGACTCTCTGTCACAGGCACCATTGCAGAGGAAAAGCCTGCACCATGTGCACCTGAAGGGGCTTATGGTCGACACTGTAATCAGAACGGAACAGAGTGCAAAATGGGATGGGAGGGCCCAAATGACGGCATTACCAACTTCGACAACTTTGCCTTTGCCATGTTAACGGTGTTCCAGTGTATAACGATGGAAGGCTGGACAGACGTGCTATACTGGGTGAGCCGGACACCACAACAGTGCCGTGTGACTGTGTGTGTGTGTGTGTGTGTG